TATCTCCCCTGAAGGTGACTCAAAACAGCATAACATAAAAGCATCAGCATAACCATTTAAAATATACAAATATATGAACATTAAAACAGGATTAAATACAAACAGTATTTTTAATAAATCCCAGTTAAAACTATTAAAACAAATTCAAAGTTAAAAACCACAGGTCTTCAATTGTTATACTGTGTTAACATGAACATGCATGAACTATATACCTATGTGTAGGCTGTTAATTGTAGCAAGTCTTTTCATTGCTTCTGTATATTCCTACAAATTTTAATTGAAATGTATGGTATGTATTGGAAAGTGAAGGTGCAGTAAAAGAGCGACTGGTCGGCAGCCAATAGAATGGTGAGAATAGGCAGCACAAAATAGCTGCTGACAGAACTTCCTGTGCATAAGCTCTTTAACACTCAGTTGTACATGTTGAAATAGAAGTGAGGTAACATATTCTATTACCTCCGTTGCAGGGATGATGGTAAAGGAAGCTATATTTGTCACTTGGACAGAGAGCCGTTCTGAGTGTTTAGACACTTTTTATTTCTAATTGAAATGCCTGGCAAACATGTTTCCAGCTTTTTTAGAATGCAGATTTAAAAATGCATGCCTTTGCCTTAAATGGCTGGGCATTGGGCAATTCCACTTAACATCTATTATTATATTTTAAAGCTTTCCCTTGCATGGCAATTAGTTGTGAAAAATTTCAAAGGGTAATTTTTAAGAGTTAAAGTAATCTCTTTACTCCAAAGCATTCAAGCAACACAAATGTAAAGTTGTTGTGTGTTTGGATTCAGTTTGACAGAGCTTCTGTTCCAAAGAGTGGATGAGTAGGAGAGGTGCCAAAATGAACATATCCTGTCACTACGTGGGGGTGGACTCTGGGGATCGAGTATTGTTTATCCCAGCTCTTAACTGTTTCAGTGAAGGTAGCAAAAGTGCCGGCAAAGTGCCCTGTGGCAGGTTCAAAGGATGGATAGAAGTTGGAGTTCCTGGCCAGCAGTCAGACGGTGCTTTCAGAAATGGGTTGGTTACTCAAAGAATGCAGGCTTGAGAGGAAGAGAGGAAACGCGGGCAAAGCAAATGAAGAAGGAACTGGAGACTTGTGGAGAAAATGCTTGGAGGGGACGAAGAAGTTCTGAGGTGCAGCAATGTCATTGTCCTTTTGTTGTTTGAATGTGTCAAGCTTGCCTTGAGGGGACGAGAGTGCAATTGGGTTTAGGGGATGATTAGAAAGAATGCATTTGATAAGTAACACTACACTCATGGCTGAACTGTCCTAATGTTTTAGTCAGACTAGGAGCAAGTGCAGATACGATATTTATAGTTTGTGAAGTGCATCTGCACTCCTTTTTCATAAATGTGCAAAACACATGATAACCTTTTTTTCCCTGGCAGATATATTTTGAGAGAAAACTCCTTTTGATTTCTAAACCAAACACTTGGGTATTTTTTTTCTACTGAGACTGAAGAAGTAGGCTGGATCTACACTGCCAGATAATGCAGTATGAACTGTATTGTATGGTAAGTGTAGAGCATTGAACTGCACTATATGCATCTATACTGACCATATTATGCAGTTTAGATCCAGCCCCAGTCTCATGTATATCAAAGTGATACTTTATTTTGAATATATGTAAACCTGTGATTTTATAATTTTGCATAAATCTTATGAATACAGTGGACTGTACTATGAACTGCATATACCTAACTTCTATGTTTTCTCTATTTGTGCCTTTTAATTTGGAGACAGAAGCTGAATATATCTGTGCATTCTATCATTGGATTAAGATTAAATAATGGTTGATTGCCTTTAATTAGATAATTTAAGATGAGAGTTGTCAGCAAACATGTTCATTGCTGGCTCTTCCAAATGCAAGGAAAGGTGTTAATGTAACACTTTAATTCACAAACTGAAGAATCATCTGTTTAAAGTTGTGACATATTTTGCCTGAAGTTTTGCAAAACTTTCTGTTAATGGCAACTTTTGTACAGTATTGGTGTTGTAATCAGCCCTGACAACAGTCTTGTGTTTACTTCACTGCACAAGTCAAATATATGTGTATAGAAAAGCTAAACAGGATTTCTCAGCAGACATGATTCAGTGAAATAATACCATAATTATTCAAATTTAATGCTCACCTTTTTAACTAAATTTCTTTCCCAAAATTAGGTTGCGCATGAGATTTGTGGAATATGATAAAAATTTCTTTGAGTTTCAGGGTTTGAAAATTGAGGTGTGTATTATATTCGATTGCGCATTAGACTGGAGTAAATATAGCAATGATTATTTTGATAATAATCATCATAATAATTTTGTTTGGCACCCACCTAGCCATGGATTGAAACGGGGAACAACAACATATTTAAATAGAATATATACCATTAAAAATCAGGGGTGTGCACAATTCTGGCACGGCATTCGGTATTCATCTGATTCAGCCAGAATCAGCAGCCAAATCTCTGATATGAGGCGGTGCAGGCAGCGGCAGCCGGAGACCGGCAATAACAGGGCGGGTCGAGGCTGGTCTTTGACTGTATTGGCTGCATTCGGCTGCTATGAGAAAATAACAGCCATGCACGGGTTTTTACTCCTCCCCTCCCCTTTAGTCTTGCCAGATCCAATCAGAAAAAGAAAGTGGATCTCGTGTCTTTTTTGAAAAGCTGGTGTTTCAGAGGAAGAGATGTTCTAGCTCTGTGTGTCTCAGAACCACTGTTTAGTGCTTAGAGAACGGATCACTTTTTGAGAATTCCTTTTTCATCTGCCTTAATTTTTTAAGTTAAATATCTTTCAGCCCTTCTTTTATTTTACTAGTAATTTGCTAGGGAGGAGTGGGTGGGCCACTTCTCCCTAGCAAAATTACTAGTAAAAATAAAAGGATGGAAAGATATTTAACTAAGTTCCTTCCACCACCACCACCCTCCCACCACTTCTTTGACTCTCAGTCTCTGCTATACCCTCCCCAACTGTACCTTCCAGCCTGTGTGTGTGCGCACTAGTCCTGCAGCCTCCCCCCATAGTCCTTTAAAAATGTTCTAAAAATCACTGGATTACCTATATGTTCTGAAATTTAGGGAGCTCTCAGTACTCAATATGTCCTCCAAGTGTGGCCATTTTCATCCCGATAGTCATAAATGACAGAAAGAGGAGCTCCACCATACTACAGTCCCATTGACACCAATTGCTAGATCTTCTCAAAGCTAAAATGGAGCTTCAGGCCATCAGATACAAAAAAAGACATTTTTCCCCGCTCAATTTTAGGAACTTCCCAAAAAACAGAACAGGAGCCCAGCCAAAAATGGGATGGGTTTTTCTCAAAATTGTAGAATCACAGAGTTGGAAGAGACCTTGTGGGCCATCCAGTCCAACCCACCGCCAAGAAGCAGGAAAATTGCATTCAAAGCACCCCTGACAGGTGGCCATCCAACCTGTGCTTAAAAGCCCTACTAAAAACTCATAAACCAGTTAAAACACATCACATCCCTTCTAGCCCCAAAGTCGATCACAACATTAAACAATACAAATTATAACATATAAAAACCTTCCAGAATAAAAAGGTTTTAGGCTGCTGCCGAAAAGACAACAGGGAGGGAGCCATTGTAGGAGGTTCCAAGGTCTTAGGGCAGCTACTGAGAAGGCCCTCTCTCACATCCTCATTGACCTCATTAAATTCAATACATATTTAAACAATCAGTATATTGTTTATTCCACAATTTTCTTAGAACCTGAACATTAATTTAAAACAGTGGTTCTCAATGGAAGCGAGAATGAAAATCCGGTCCATGAACCTCCTTCCTCTTTATTTATTTTATTTTATTTCCACTCCTTTCCTCAGAGTTAACCAGCCCAACCCCTTTTGGTACTAATGTTGGAGAGTGATCCCTGGTCAAAGTGGTCCCTAGTCAAGTGGGCCCTGTTCAATTGGTCCCTGATCAAAGTGGACCCTGGCCAAAGTGGGCCCTGGTCAAAGTGGTCCCTGGTCAAGTAGACCCTGTTCAAGTGGTCCCTGATCAAAGTGGACCCTGGCCAAAGTGGGCCCTGGTCAAGTGGACCCTGGTCAAAAAAAAGGTTGGGAACTACTGGTTTATAACAACTCTTTTAAAGAACTGTTCTGTTTATTGAAGTTAATTTAGTTCATAACTCTATTTTGAAGAGCCTCATATATAAAAGAAATTCTATCTAAAGAAAAAAATGTTTAAAATACATTTTCAGACCTGAAAACTAAATCCCAGTTTTCCCCCAGCAGATTCACATGAATGAATCTTAAGTAAACATGCATAGGATTACCCTATGGCTTCAGTCTCATATCGTTAATTGAAATTTATCTTGTTGAACCTAAATGGATCATAGCTGGGAGGAAGTGGCAGGTAACAGTGAAATCAATTAGAGTGACCTATGTCAATTAGTGTGACCTATGTATCTTGTGCTATTAAGATATATTTCAATAATGAGCTCAGTTCAAATTACGTGTGTCACATATTGTAATATTTCTTTTTATATGGAAACAAAATAGCTTGGAATGTGAGCACCAATTGCTTGGAATCTGAGCAGAGAATAGTTGATAGCTTATGTGCTTTTTGATATCATACATTTAAAAAGTATATAGCATGATCCCGAATCGATAGAACCAATATTTGTGATTTTATTTATCTATGTATGACAAAAAGTCCTCTCTAACCATTTTCTAGGTTCTCCACTGCAACTCAGTGGTGTTCTTAGGCACAAAATCCTTTAAGGTTTGCTATTATACATAGTTATGCAAATCTACGCAAAGTTCCCAGAGGATACAGGGGTCATACCTTACATGAATTGTGTGTTAATCAGGAGCGCTTGATTGGAATCCATGGTATCTGTAGTTTAGGAAATGTGATTAGGATTAGTGTATCAGGTTTTGTTTTGTTTTTCGCATTAAACCATGCAACTGACCTTTTCTATGCAACACGATAGTGTATTAAGTTCTTATCATTCCTATTTAATGTTTTCATTTTTTTTACCCCAATATAAGGAACGCCAGCGGCTGGAGACAATCCTCAACCTGTGTGCAGAATATTCCAAGCCTGACAGTGATCCTGTTACTGTCACAACTGTAGCTGATGTTCAAAAAATCAATAAAGAACTTGAAAAGCTTCAGCTGTCTGATGAAGATTCTGTATTTGAAGATTCTCAGATGACTCCAGAAACAAGATTGAGACGGCACTTGCAGTCACCTACTGGAGATTCCGATTTCTCTGACTTCAGTGATCTTGGTCAGAATTCTCTGGGAATCTTTTCTTCTGGAGGGGCCAGAACAAATAAATATATAAATGACAACCGGACAATTTCACCTTCACCTGCTTCTGCCTTCATGAAGGGTGTCAATGATTCTTCTTACCTAAGCATCATGTCAAAGGTAAGTGGACAGTATTATGTTGGAAATCTCGTTTGGAATTAGGATTGTTTCTGTACTTTTACTAAAGAACCTTTTGAATTTTTTTTATAACTATTGTGTATGTTCTTGTTTTTAGGTTTGCTGCAACAACAGTCAGTCTTGTGGCACAAATCCTAAGAAGTTAATCATTTCCCTTGTTTTGTGCATAATAACCCATAGTTTGGGAGTAATTGATTCAGCCAAAAGCTTGTAGTGACTGTATATTTTTTAACTGCTACAACTTTTGGTAAAATGCAATGGGCGTAATATAGTATAAAGACATCCTGACTACTACACTGTGATGTAGGTATAGAGACACAGAACCAGCAGTCATCATAATTATTATGAAGCACAACATTTTTTGTTAAGCAAACCACAACCAAATCAAAAGTGTATGTGTGTGTGTATCTGTCTATCTCTGGTTGACATATAACATCTCTGTGGGTTAAAATCTGGAGAAGAAATGATTACCAGGTATGATAAGATACAGTCAGCCCTCCATTTTCATGGTAGTTAGCGGTGCATGACCCCCATGAAAGTAGAAAACCATAAATAAAAATGCAGGAAATTGACCATACTATCACATTGGAGGATCTATAAAGATCTAGAGAAGTGTTTTCTCTAGGAATCTGTAGTCTTCCAGCGTCATTCTGTGGTCAGCTTCTTGTGGTTGACCATAGTGTCATGGTGGATGACCCACACATTCCTACAGAAAATGTATTAATCAAATCCATGAATAATCAAATTCACAAAAGTTAAATCCCTAAATGTGAAATTCCAACTATATTAGCAGGGTTATCAAAAGTGACAGCATTTTTTTCCTGTTGCTTCCAAGGGAAACATTAAAGCCATTGGCTTCAAGTTATGAGACCTAGATGTTAGGAATAACTTCCTGATGGTACAGTTAGACTTCCTGTGTGACAATAGAATGTACTTTCATTTGTTGGAAGTGTTTAGGCAACTCGGTAAGGTAATAGCTTAGAAAGAGTGGTGCACATACCTTGTACATCAAAAGATCAAGATCTGGCAGAGTGCATCTCAACCTAATACAGGCAGTCCCCAACTTACAAACAACTCCTAGTTAAGAACAGGGGGGAGACAACAGGAAGTGAGAGAAATCTACCCCTCAGAGGAGAAATTCACTCCTGGAAGAGTTACCATGGGAAAAATGTGTTTCCACTGAAGCTTTATCACCAATCCTTATTTCCATAACAAGCATTTTTTTTTTCAAAATCTAATTATCACAGGGACAAAACATGAAATCAAATCTTCTGAACAGGGCACAAACAGTAAAACAAGCACCACAGGGGTGGTCACTCTTCCTTATGGTATTCAAAGGCTGGCTGGCTGGAGAGAGAAAGGGGGGGGGGAGCTGGTGTTACACTTAAAACATTTACCTGTTCCGACTTCCATACAGTTCAACTTAAGAACAAACCTACAAAACCTATCTTGTTTGTAACTTGATTTTCTTTACTTGTGTGAAACATAAATCCAGAGTCCTATACTGCAAATGACAAATTTACCAATAGATCCCAACAAACCTTTTGTCCAGCTCTGGGCTATATGAGCTCTTTCATCTGTGTGAGTCTGTGAATCCAAGGACTGTAGCTGTGCATGTTTTCCATGTTTAGTTTTTGCCTTCTGTACATGAGAGATCCTGTTTTAACTATTCACAAGGAAGATGAAACCCAAGATGCAACATCAGTATTAATCAAGCAGGATGCTTGCAAATAAGTGGTGTTCCTGTTTGAATTAATGTAGCTGGCAGGGGATGCCATTCATTAAAAAGGATCTTCTTTTTTATTCTGACAACAATAATAACTTCAGACCTGTCAATTAAATCCATTATGTGTTCCAAATGTCCACAGTTGCACTTGTGAATTACGCTGCTTATTCATAGTCCAAAGGAAGAACATATGGTTTAATAATTTTCCTCCCTCAAACTTTTGGAGAGGATTGAGAATAGGGAACGAGGCCAAGATGCTGCTGTTAATACTGAAAAATTATCTTGTGACTGTGAAAGTAACTTAAGCTCCACATACTATTCAGTCTTCTGTGGAAAATTAAAAAGTTTATAATCAGTAAGGAGACTAGGGCCATGTCTACACTGCCAAAGTAAAGTGGATTCACTGCTCAGCTGCTGCAGGGAGTGCAGGTGACAGAGCTGGATTCACAGCACCTGTCCTGCTTCCAACCATTAATGCAGGTCAAGAGGGCATGGGATTTACTCTGGAGTCCCAGGAAGCTCTGTAGTAATTCTGGAGTTTGGGAGGTGTGGACAGATAGATTGGCTGGATTTGCCCCAAGTAACTCCACATTTTCAGCGGACCCATTGCTATGTCCCCACCAATAATCAGGTCCCTCTCAGAGACTGTACAATTATGTGGACAGCCAAAGGGTTTCGGGGACACTCCTAGGCTGCATCAGGACAACTCTAAAGCACTAACCCAAATTGCTCAGGTAAATGTAGACATGGCCTCAGATGGCTTTCCTAAATATTGTGGGGTCATATCCCATTGTAATAATATTCAGAAATATTAGATGTTGAGATACAGAGCAAGGAGTGCTTTGGAAGAATGACAAAAGGAGACAAGTTTTTCAATGAAAATCTCATTTATTGTTGTTTTATCTTCTTAAATGTTTGCTGATATAAGCAATATTTTAATGGCTTTTTTGAAAAAGAAATAAAATCATAATGGAAGCATGTATATTTTGAAATGCCTTATGTTAAGAAGTACAATTGTTGCTTTATTACAGACACCAGATTGCATGGCTGATGAACAAAGAGCGATGCAGCTTAATCAAATGGAAGAACAGCGCCTTGTGATACTGAATAACTTGGAAGAACTTGAACAAAAAATCAAGGATTTAAATGATCAGATGGATGAGTCCTCCAGAGAGGTAAGATATCACTGGAAAATGCACATGGCTTATTTTAAGAAAACATAAGATGAATCATACGTATTCTAAACACATTTATGCACATTATTGAAAGATAGTGTCAAAAGACTGTTGATATATTCCACTGTCATGCATTCACGTGAAGATGTATCAAAATTGTAAATGGACAAGGAGTTGAACTGGAAGACATTGATTATTATAGTTTTAAGTGGTTTTATATGGATTTTTTAATTATGTGTTACTTAAATGTTTTTAATTGATATGTATGTATGTATGTATGTATGTATGTTGTGGCATCTAATTGTTGCCAATCTGTACACCGCCCTGAGTCGCCTTCGGGCTGAGAAGAGTGGAATAAAAATGCTGTAAATAAATAAATGAATGAATAAATAAATAAATAAAGGTGTCTGATGCCAGTTAGTAACACATAAATAATGGCATCACCCCTGTCCTGTGAAGGATGGCACCAAAGTGATGGAAGTGATGGTAGCTTTGATCTTCATGCTGAATCCAATCCTTCATATGAGACTCTTTTCTTTGTATACTTACAGTATAATCCTAAACACATTATTTAGAAGTAAACCTCACTACATTCAGTGGGTTTATGTGATAGTTCAAGAATGAGCAGTTGTCCAAGGGCAGGAGTCCTCAGGAAACTTTGCAGAGTTGCACCTCCTGTCATAACTCCACATTCATCCTCCAAATAATGTTGCCCTATATACCCTCCAAACACCCTGAAGGGAAAGTGGGAAGTACCTTGCCATAATTTCCATCCCCGAGGTCAAATTAAACCCAGCACTGTACTCTTTCATGACAGGCAGAAATCCAGAGGTAATTTCCTGTTCCTTGACCTGGGAGATGTAGTGGAAGTGCCTCCCCTGTTTTTTGAGGGGTAAAAAAGAGAATGTGTAGTTCTCCAGAATCCCGTGGCAGGTACAGAATGGGCCTGGGAGCAATGTGGCCCACAGTAAGCACTTCACCCATCTGTGACCTAAGTGGTGTGTTTTGAAATGCAGTCCAGCAAAAGATTTCTGTTCTACTGATGATATTTGCTCATTAACATTTTACAAACATGCATTGTAATAAGACATTACTTGGAAGTATATATGAGTATATTTAACAGCCAATGGTAGGATGAATAAAGATAAGGAAATAAAATAAAGATAAGAAGTAAAATCCTGTCACATATAAATAATAATAGGATGAACTCTTTGAAAAAGTGACAAGTGCAAATGCTGGCTATAAGGAAATCAGAAAAAAAACTAGTAGATACAGTAAAGACAGAAGATAGTAGAAAAAAATAGTGTTTTAAAGCAAGTGATGTGGTAGCTTGATTTAAATCAGTTTCCAGTATTACTGTTTCCATGTGTGTGTTCAGACACCTCAAGAGGACTTAATAATGTGGGTTGGCTTTGGAGATTTAAAATAAAATATGTATTATGCACGAATAAGCTTTCCAAAACTGTGTGTCAGGAATTCTTTATGAGCTGTATTGAGGCTGAGAATTATTTTGTGTTCTTAGATGGACATGGAATGTGCTCTGTTGGATGGAGAGCAGAAATCCGAAACAGCTGAACTTCTCAAGGAGAAGGAAATACTAGATCATTTAAACAGGAAGATAGCAGAGCTGGAGCGAAATGTTATTGGCGAAAAAACTAAGGTAAATAAAGTCATATCTTCACCATTTTTGCACAGGTTTCAAAACAGTATTTGAAAAAGAAAATATTGTTCTTTGGTACCCTGTTTTCATTAAAAGAAAAATATTGTGAACTAAGTAGCAGCCACTATCTGAATGCTCGGGGAGTTCATGGCAGCCAAAATAGAATAACAACTTCATATTTACATAACGTTGTTGTTTATTGAATAATATTATTATTCAAGAATAGCATATTGAGTTAAGAAGAAGGAAGAATATACACTTCAGAAAGGTGTGCGATGTTTTCTTAATTCTGATCGATCACCAGTTTTATCCATGTTTTATCACAGTTACTTCTTTGGTGATATTTAAAATCACATGAGTTTTAATAGTTCAGTTTAATTTTTAAAAACTCTTTTCATGCTTGCAGAAGATTGGTAGATTTGTACTTTGTTTGAATTTATGTGGTCCCACCTAACCATAACTTGTGTAATATATACACAAAGAAGACTAAATGGCCAAAAAAGTAACAACGGAATAGTAAAAAGGAGCCCCCAGTGATGGAATGGGTTAAACCCTTGTGTCGGCAGGACTGCTGACTGAAAGGTTGGCGGTTTGAATCTGGGGAGCGGGGTGAGCTCCTGTCGGTCAGCTCCAGCTTCTCATGCGGGGACATGAGAGAAGCCTCCCACAGGATGGTAAAACATCTGGGTGTCCCCTGGGCAACATCTTGCAGACAGCCAATTCTCTCACACTAGAAGCGACTTGCAGTTTCTCAAATTGCTTCTGACACTAAAATAATAATGCTAATAATAAATAGTAAAAGAGACTTGAACTTGATTATGTTAAGTTTTGCATAATTTATTTGAACATCCAACCTGCCATTATATATAGTGATATGCCATCAGTTTCTCATAAATTCGGTCCAAAGTAGATATTGATCACCATTGCTAGTATCGAAACTCCAGTAACCGTTCTTTCAGTTCCAGCCAGTGGCTCTGATATCAGTGATGCAGTAACTCTGATTCAAATTTTTGTCTAATCTAAAACAATCCTCTAGGGTACTGGGCCACATCTCAAAATTAATTAAAACTCCTTGAATAATTCTTTCAAAATTGGAATTAAACTTCTAAGCTGACCTACTTTTTGCTTGATTTCAGAGCCATCAGTTGTTGCTGATCTCTCTCAACATGGGTGTTTTTGGGAAAGAGTTATAATAAGTGGCCAAAACAATGTGTCAGTCTTACTCATTTCCATAGTTGTTCCATAGTTGTTCTACTTCAGATTCATTTGTGGCTTCAAAATCTTTTTTTAATTGATAGTTTTTGTTTTAAAAACTTAACACAAAATTTACAGACATAGAAATAAGGGTACAAACCATAAGACAAAATACAAAGATGAAAACAGTAGAAATACATTTTCCTAATATAAAAACATACTACTGCAACCACCCATCATCAACTATGTAAAGATATAAAGTACCTAGTTCTGTCTAATGGGTTTTTGCCCTCAGTTTTCTATGTCCCTTGAAAGAAGATGTCCCCTCTACAAAAACTTGGGGGGGGGGGGGGAAGAAGTTTAGACCAGAAAAAGCATTTGATATCATTTATATGATTCATGTTTGCATTGCCTGTGTGTATACAGGGTCACAGGAGGTTTATTACTTTGAAGGAATATGTAAAGATCAAGCTAGATATATAGTTAGCATGGACATTTTTGTTACATAAATAGCAGCTCCGTGAATGTCTGAGCAACCTTGAGAGTATTTCTTCCTGACATGCTCTCAGTAAAAAATGCCTCTCCAAAAATTCCCCACTGTTGTCAGTGGAGGCTTCCGTTGAAATGCATATTTCAGGTTTGGAGAAGTATTCCTGACATTGCCAACTTCATTCCTATGACTGCTGTTTCCACATAAAGATATGAACATTAAATAAATTTGCATACCACAGGAAACCGCAGAAAGTATGTTCACCAGACTAGCAGTTCCAGAATGAAGAGATTCTGCCACTTCGTTGTCTCACCATCCTATATGAACCGGTCAACTTGTTGAGGTCATCCACTGAGTCTGTATCTCTTGACAGCCTTTTCTGCATAGTCTATAACAGAAAGAGCAATACATATCCAATCTTGGAAACCTCCTTTTCTGAATATTCACCACATCGAAAATTCTACTTTCCAGCTGCATTCTCTCCATTAGGAGAGAATGCAGGTGGAAAATGGCCATAAAGCCCGGGAAACTCACAGCAACCCAGTGATTCTGGCCATGAAATCCTTTGGCAATGCAATGTAGATTTTTTTTGTAAAAAGGAATAACAATAAATTTCTTATTAATAAGGGCATTTTTGACTATTATACCCACAAAAATATTACACAGCTTGACAATATTTCCATTTATATTTCCCACTTTTTGTACAATAAGAAGTGATTGAAGAAATGTGGTTGAATTTTGTGTATGTGTGTGTGTGTGTGTGTGTCTAAGAGTGTGTGTCTAAGAGTGTGTGTGTATATATATAGAGAGAGACTTTTATCACATTATTTCTGTTTAATACATTGTTTTGTAGCTTCCAGTAGCTCTTCAGTTATGTTTTGAGGACAGCTTTAATGAGCAGATGTAGTTTGCATGCATATCAGGTATCGTTTTGCTCATTTAAGCTGGAATCCTATATTCAGTTACCTGAGAGTAAGTACCATTGAACTTAGTGTTGTTTTCATCTGAGTAAACCTATATAGGATTTCACAGTTAATATCCTTCTGCAATCTAAAAGCCTGTGTAGTATCATTTCCCTGCTCATATTCCATGTTATGATGGTACAGCTCTCTACTTCCAAGCAGCTGTTGTGATTTGCTCCACACATGAATAGAGTTTTGAGAATAGTGAAATGATATCTGTGTACAGATTATGAAAGATAAAACCAATTTCATTCATAGAAATATAGCACAAATGATGGGAGTTCTGTTTGTGATAGTGATAGCTTGATGTTTATGGAAAGAGTTAAGGACTGGAATTAAGTCTTGATCTGGGCACCTGTTTTAAAGGAAGTCTTGTGCAGATCAAGCTGACCCTTGAGACCAGCTGTTTCAGAAGCTTGTGAAATTCTTAAAAAGAGATATCATGAATGAAAAGATAATCAGTTTTCCATCTGAAAGCTTAAAATAGACGAAAGGAAGAATGTCCATACTCCTTTTTCATGCTTAGAAGGATGAAAACAACAACAAGAATGGATGAATTTTGAACTATGAATGCATTCAAAATAAAAATATATACTGTATATTGGATCTGACTTTAATTGATAGTCCAGTTTAAGCCAACATCTCACTAAAATTCAATTGGATTTTTGTGGATCTGCTCTCACTGGCACTAAACATGGAATGTTGAACTTGGTTTACTTGCTAGACATATATGACAGTTATTTGACTTACCTGGACTATTTTGTCTGTATTCAGCATCAGCAAAACTGCAACATGATGTGCTCTATACTCTTATCTTTTTAGTGAATAGAAAGTACAGTGGGCTTTGGGAAATACTACTGAGAAGGATAATCAGGACCTTTAATACTACCAATAATAATAAACTTTATTTATACCCTGCCACCATCTCCCATAGGGACTAGGGATGACTTACAAATAGTACACAACGGTGCCATACAAAATATAAAATTAAAACCAACAACACATTTAAAATCATACATATAAAATTAGCAAGAGCAATAAAATCAATAAAATATGGCATACAATCAATTTAGCCTTCCCTGGCTAAAGAGAGTATTCTGGCTGCCATCTTAAACGTTATTAAAGACCTTTTGAAAGAAACAAGTTTTTTGCACTTTATGAAAGTGCTGTAGTGTAGGGGCTTGCCAAAGTTCCCTGGGTAGGATGTTCCATAGCCAGGTGGCCACCACCGAGAAGGCCTTCTCCCTCGTCCCCAGCAACTGCACTTGAGACGGAGGTGGAATCAAGAAGTGAGCCTCCCGACAGATCCTGGAGCTCGCACTCTAAGAACCCATACTAAAAAAGAATGAAACAAGAGCCTTCTTATGTCAAACCAAAGATCTGTGTAATCAGCAGCAACTAACCAGGGGTTTCTGGGTAACTCATAAGCAAGACTTGGGAACAGCAACCATCATTATTTGACTCCCAGAGGTTTGCTTTCAGTGGGATATTTCTTGAATGAGGAGATTCTGTTTAGTAGTCATGGATTATAGCTATTGATAGTTATATCCTCCTCCATTAACTTCCCTAACCTTCAGGGGTGATGAAAGTGCCACTGACTCTAGTTTTGTGGCACACAAGCCCTCTCTGATGATCCCCCCAAAGCTTTCCAATCTGCATTTAAAATGTTTTACACCGATTTTAAGGTGAATTTTCATACAAAACTCAACTTAAATTTCCCAGGATTACTGTAAATGCAGTATAAAAACTGAAATAACTAAAACGTGACATAACATTACTTCTGATACACTGGTGCAGCCTGCAGAGGGTGAAATGGCCCCTGCCCTCTTCACAGCATCCCACTTCTATTTTAAAGCTTTGTGAGCTAGTAGATAGCATCACATCTTATGATGACTGATAATACATTGATTGTGTTCTCTGTGAAGATGACAATCAATTTCATTAGCACCTAGTTTGAAAACAATACCTTTGCAAATTACCAGATTTCCCCTAGACATTTCATTTTATAATTATAATTTGATTGTGTTATTAAAACAAAACAAACACACACACACACACATTAAAAACACAGCTGATAAAATTTAGGAGTGTTTGATGAATATACTGTATTTTTCACCAGGACCTAGATATTATGTTTGGCAGTAGAGTTATTGTGTGTAAGAAATACTTTTACTGTTTCTCTGCATATTGGACTGTTACCTTGGTTAACGGAAGCATAGAAAGCTGCTTACACTGGATCTGTCCAGGCAGAAAAGTTCCTTGAATCCTGAAGGAAAAGACTTCCTACACATTGTCCAATTACTCCAATCCTGAAAACTGCTTAAATTCTTTATCAGAAATGCATGAACATACCC